ACGCGAATACCTTCGAAAATGCACCTGCCAAGGAGCAATGTTACGCATAAGAATAAGAATATAGAGGTCAACGAGGGACATTCAGCCGTGACTTTGCCCTTATTCTCGAGGTCATGAGTTAAGATTATTATTAATAAGGTAATTATTATTAAGGTCAAACCGGACTCTTTTAGGACTGAAAATCCATACTTTTGACCTAAAAATGTCAAAATTGAAAAATTTTACGTTCGGATATGACGTTTTCAATCTTGACCTTGTTCTCAAAATTATGCGTTTTACGTTACTTCACTGATCGTGAAGTCTACTGAAAGTAAAGCGTCTCGGAACCCGACCACTGAAGGCAAGGTGTCTCAAACCCGACCACTGAAGGCAAGGTGTCTCAAACCCGACCACTGAAGGCAAGGTTCAGTTAGTCCCGGCCACCGAAGGCAAAGCATCTTGTAACTCGGCCTGAGATTACAAGAGATGTTCAAAATGTTCCCCATTGACCGTTTGACAGTGTGCTAAGCGGACGTACAAATTGTCAGTCGCATTCCTTATCATTTCTGGAGGTATTGCAGCACATTCGTCTATGATCCGTTGTTGAAGCTCATCTAGGTTACGAGGTTTAGTGAAATGAACTTTATTTTTTATGTAGCTCCAAAGAAAGAAATCAAGTGGTGCAATGTCGGGCGATCTCGGTGGCCATTCGATTGTTCCTCTTCTACCTATCCATCGATTAGGGAAAGTATCGTTTAAATAGTTCCGAACAATGCGTCTATAATGTGGCGGTGCCCCATCTTGCTGGAATCAAATATCATCAAAATTATCACCAACAATCTCCTGTATTGATGGAACAATTTGGTCTGTTAGAAGCTGCAGATAGGTTTCTGAGTTCAAATTCCCATTTATAAAAAAAGGCCCAATCACTTAATTATCATAAAGACCTGCCCAAACATTCAATTTTTGAGGTCGCTGCGTATGTGCTTCAAGCATCCAATGAGGATTTTCGTTGTCCCAATATCTAAAATTATGACGGTTTACCTTATCAGTAATTTTAAAAGATGCTTCGTCTGAAAAAACGATATTATGCAAAAAGTTCGGTTGCTGATCAATTCTTTGCGTCATAACTTCTGAAAATTGCACCGTACGGTCAAAATCATCCTCATTCAACTCATGGTGGAGATGAATTTTGTAGGGGTGGAACTTAATGATCTTTAGATTTTTGGAAATTGACAATACATTCATTTGAAGCTGTTGAGATGCTTTTCTAATTGACAATCTGGGATTTTCAACAAATGATTGGGCTACTTCAAATTGCCGCTCTTCTGTCGTTTGTGACCTTAGCCTCCCAGATTTTTGGCGGTTTTTATCGCTCCAAGTTTCTACAAATCGTCTGATGGTGAAAGATATAGTCGATATTGAAATACCTTCGCCTTCATTACGAAAGTTTTCATTGAACAGCAATCTCACTTCACTGTATGACCTTTGTCTATCCCCCCATCCTCTCATCATCAATAGCGAAACACTCCCATGCTCTGTAAGAGAAGCCATTTGGAATTGAAAACATAAAATTTGCAAAAATTTGGTATAAAAAATTCGGTTTCTTTACCTTTAAATAGAAATAATAAGTAATGTACCATTGATCGTTAATAATAATATGATAATCATTCAAAACGGACTAGAATGACATCAAAACTTTTTAAATCGATGAAAACTCAAAAACAATCTATTATCTGTTTGACACTGATAGAATCGAGACAAATAAAAACCTTGAAGCATACACTTTATCGATGGCGAATAAATTTTTCGGATACCGATCCTGGGATTTTTGAGCTCGCTAAAACCGAATCCGACGTCGGATTTTGCAAATTCAAGATGGTCAATTCAAGATAGCGGCCGATATTTAAGAATAACAAAAATTGGATCTCGTTTAAGGAGTTTTTGAAGTCGTTTCTGAAATCGAATCCGACGTAGGATTTTACAAATTCAAGATAACCGATCCAAAATGGCGCCCGATATTGAGGAATTATCAACAATCGGAGCGTGACCTCGTACGTAACGTAAAATCTCACTCTTCACATTATGGGGAGTGGGGTAAAAGTATGTGTTTCTAGCCTAAAAAAATTAATTGACTTAGATATGACTGATATATAACCTTAAGAACAAGATCAAGGTTGAAAACGTCATATCCGAACGTAAAATTTTTCAATCTTGACACTTTTAGGTCAAAAGTATGGATTTTCAGTCCTAAAAAAGTCCGGTTTGACCTTAATAATAATTACCTTATTAATAATAATCATAACTCATGACCTTGAGAATAAGGGCAAGGTCACGTCTGAATGTCCCTCGTTGACCTTTACATTCTTATTCTTATGCGTAACATTGCTCCCTAGGAGGTGCATTTTCGAAGACATTCGCGTTTTCAGCCTAAAACAAGCTTAGACCTTTATGTGACCATCAGAGGTCAAAGAGCCTCGGTAAGCCCTATGCAAAAAATGCCCGTTTTCGGTACCTCGATTTTTGAAACTTTTTTTATGCCCAATGGTTACTTATGATGACCCAAAAATCCCTGCAAAGTTTCAAGATGAGCATATGCCCCGTTTAAGAAATATAGGGGGTCAAAGTTGACCATGTCCAATTAAAAAATATAGCAGCTTCACATTTATACTCCAATAATAATGTCTAAAAAATTCAGCCGAAATGGTTCTTTTAAGGTTTTTGGCTGCTGATTACGAATCTGAAGTCAGATTTTAAAAATTGGCGGATCCAATATGGCGGACGAATTTTTCTTAAATTCGTCAGATTCACTTAAAACTCGTTACTCGGGGGTTTTTGGGGTCGCTGATTACGAATCTAACGGTTAACTAACTTTTAACCAACACTAAATCTTCTTTGTCACTACATTAAACCTACTTTGACCCTACATAGAAAGACACCTATATGTACTGGATTACTTTTATCGGTGTAAGTGCAGATTTGTTTAAACTGTACTTTATTGTACGCAAACCAAGCTTTAAATGTACTATCATCAATCGAATCGATGTTATTCATATCAAAAGCTATTTGATTACTTGATTTTAGCTCTTGATAATATTCAAACATTAAATCAAATTGAAGCTTGATCTTTAGAAGGTACTTCTTCAGATTGTTTGACTAAAGGCCAATATTCGTAATACCTACATGTTCAGAACACATTCGAGCACCAGATGGAACAAAGAATTTATAAGTCATAAGAAGATCACGACAATTCAACGGTGGGACTACAATAAGGTTATCAAAACTTTGACATGAAAATGTGCATCGATTGTGAGAACTAAGACCTTTTCGGTAAATCGATAAATCTGGTTCATCAAGATCAGTTGAAAGATTTGAACTTTTCCATAATACATTGCAACCTCTGCAGAGTTTAGCATCTGATGAAATATCACTTATTTCACTTAGCTTATGTTTTTTTGAGTTGCCCAATTGTCTCATATTATTAATAACTGTTAATGGGTCTTGAATATTGTTAATAGGAAAAAACTTGTCATCTTTACTTCTTTTTTGCTTATCACAGCTAATGCATTTAACGAAAGGCATTTTTACTAGAAAATCGAACTTTTTGCAGTAGCGCATATAAAAACTTTGTAAACAACAAAAAAGCATAGATTTAAGTCATTAGCATGCAAAAACAAAGAGTACAAAAAAATCTTACCATTTATCTTTAATAATATTTTTCAAACAACAATATTTCTAGATTTTCGAAACTGAAACTTTTATTTTATTACATTCGCAAGCGTACGATACAAATAAGATGTAGGATGGAATGGAATGTTAATGAAATGATGATCTGCTGATCGTCTTTTGTTTTCAGGGTTTCGTAACTCTAGGCCGAACTCTTTAAAACGAGACTCAGTCGCTCGACGCTCACCGCTCCTAGGTAGAATGTAAGTCCAATGTGAGGAAAAATAGGTCCATTGTAGGACAAAATAGATTCTATGTAGGGTCAAAGTAGGTTTAATGTAGTGACAAAGAAGATTTAGTGTTGGTTAAAAGTTAGTTAACCGTTAAATTCGTAATCAGCGACCCCAAAAACCCCCGAGTAACGAGTTTCAAGTGAATCTGATGAATTTAAGAAAAATTCGTCCGCCATATTGGATCCGCCATTTTGAATTTTTAAAATCTGACTTCAGATTCGTAATTAGCAACCAAAAATCTTAAAAGAACCATTTCGGCTGAATTTTTTGGATATTATTATTGGAATATAAATGTGAAGCTGCTATATTTTTTAATTGGACATGGTCAACTTTGACCCCCTATATTTTTTAAACGGGGTATATACTCATCTTGAAATTTTGCAGGGATTTTTGGGTCATCATAAGTAATCATTTGGCATAAAAAAAGTTTTAAAAATCGAGGTACCGAAAACGGGCATTTTTTGCCGATGCTCTTTGGCAGTGTTTAATGTCATATCCGAACGTAAAATTTTCCGCTCTTTTCATTTCTGGAGTCAAAAGTATGGAGTCCCATTTAAAAAAAATTGACCTGACCTTGAAATGACCTTCAAGGTCATTGTCAAGGTCAGGTCAAATCCAGGGTCACCGTCAGATAGCCAGGAAAAAATCATAAAAACTAAGTGCTTCGCATTTTTTCTAGGACTCATATTTTTCGAGTTATTCTTCTTCCGGGACTTTTATAACACCCTGTATAATAGTATTATAAAATCGTACTATATCTTTGCTTTTAAACTGTACTCTTTAAAATAAATAAAAAATAATTTCATTCTTTAACTTTTTAACATACCATTAGTACAACTTAATTTAAACTTATATAAGCTATACAAGAAACAGAATATTTACATTGCTAAATATCATAAAACAATGTTAATAAACAATAATAAAATAAATACAATAATCAGCGTATAATTCTTGGTGTCTGGAAGACGTCAATGTCTAAAATGACATACGAAACAAATGACATTTCCCAAACATTTTTGTATGTCAAAAGGTTAATTTAAGGTTAATTTCATTCACACTTACCACAATCGTACTCGTCCGAATGATCGTAGCAGTTCATATGACCGTCGCAATGTTTTTCCATAGGGATACACAAAGTATTAGAGCAGGTCCATTCGTTTTCCAGACAATAATGTTCCACCTTCACGCATCTTTATCGAACAATAAACAATAAAACAAAATAAAATGAAATAAATAATTCAACACTGTCTCTTTAATCATTAACATGTTCCATGTCGAGCCGTTTTTATGCGATTTTTCATTCAAATCATTTGATAGTTCAAATAAAAGTAGATAAGTTATTATAAAATATTTCATTATATTTATTAATATATTGTTCATTGATTATATTTATTGATTTATATGTTATAAAATATTTCATTGATTCATTGACCGATAAGTAACTTGTATAAAATAATTATATCGTATACTAACAGTATATGCAACTTGGATGGATAAAAAGGAGTGGGAAAGGGTGAGAGAAAGATTGCCTAAGAGATACATATGGGTGGCGTAGTGGGCGGGGAGGAAGAATAGAAAAGGGAAAGCAATGGGAGGTATGTTAGTAGGTGTAAAAATAGGTATGAAAGTGGAAAGGGAAGGGAGGAGGCTAGAGAGAGAGGAGATTATGATGGTCAAGATCAGATTGGAAGAGAAGTGGTGGAGAATAATAGGAGTATATGTGAATAAGGAGGAGGAGAAGATAAGATAGAGAAATTAAGAGAATGGATGGAGGAAAAGGAAGAGGGAGTAAGAATTTTGATAGGAGGAGACTTAATGCAAGGCTAGGAAGAGAAGGAGAAGGTTTAGGAGGAGAGAATGAGAGAGGGGAAAGGGTAGAGAAAGAGTAGGAAGTCGAAGGACAATAAAGTTAATGGAGAAAGCAAAAGATTGTGGGAATTATTAGAAGGGTAAGGGTGGATGATTCTGAATGGAAATCATAAGGGGGACGAGGAAGGAGAGTATACTTATATAGGGGCGCCAGGGGAATCGGTAATTGACTATGTAATAGGAGATGAAGAGTCGAAAGATGGAATACAGAGATTGGAAGTAGAAGAAAAAATTGACTCGAACCATCAGCCGGTAACGGTATGGATAGAGGAGAAGGGAAAGGAAGAAGAAAGGAGATAGGGATTAGGAGGAAAAAAGGTGGGTAGGAGATGGTGGAACGAGGAGGGAAGAGAGGAGTTCAAGAGGGAGTTTGGGAGGAGAGAGGGAGGAAAAGGGGTGGTGGAAGAGGATTGGAAAGTTTTGAGGGAAAAAATAGGAGGGGTATTGGAAAAGACGGGAAAAAGGGAGAAGGAGGGGGGAAAAGGATGGTGGGATGAAGAATGCAGACAGGGGAAGAAGAAGGGAGCTGAGAAGAGGGAGAAAGGAAGGAGGAAATAAGGAAAAATATAGAGAGGAGAAGAGAAGGTACAGAAAATTATGTGAAGAAAAGAAAGAGAGGAAAAGAGTGGAATGGATGAGGGAGATAGGGGTAGCAAGGACGGAAAATCAAGTATGGAAGGTGATAAATAGGGATAGGAAGAAGAAGATGAGGATAAACGAAGGAATTGAAATGGAGGAATGAGATAGGCACTTTAGGAGGTTATTAGAGGGAGTGGAAAGGAAGGTGGTCAGAGGGAGGGGAAGAAATGAGGAAAGGAGACAGAAGAGGGGAGTAGAAAGAAAGGAGGTGAGAAGGGTAATAAGGAGGTTAAAAGATGGGAAAGCGATGGGGGGGGATGGAATTCCAAACGAAGTATGGAAGTATGGGGAGGAAGAAATGGAAGAGTGGATATGAGAGATTTGTGATAGAGTGTGGGAGAGTGAGGAATGGCTGGAGGATTGGAAAGAGAGAGTTATTGTGTCAATATTAAAGAAGAAGGGAAGAGAGAGAGCGAAGTATTACAGGCGAGTGACGTTGACGCAAACGGCATATAAGATATACGTTACAATTTGGGTAGAAAGGCTGAAGGAGGGGATAGAGGAAAAAGGGTTGTTGCCTCCGAGTCAGACAGGCTTCAGAAAAGGGGTGGGTGCCATAGATAACATATATGTACTGAATTATTTAGTGAACAGACAAATAGATAAGCAAGGGAAGATGATGGTGCTATTTATGGATTTGAAGGCGGCGTTTGATTCGGTGGACAGAGGAGTGCTGATGGAAGCGATAAAGAGAAGGGAAATAAGCGAAGGTATAATCAGAAGATGCGAAGAGTTGCTAAGAGAAACAGTCAGTAGAATGAGGGTAGGGAAAAGGAGGAGAAAGGTTCTGGACGATGAGGGGAGTAAGGCAGGGCTGTCCAATAAGCCCAAATTTATTTACCTTGTTGGTGACGGATATGGATGAAGAGTTGGAGAGAGGAGGATAGAGGGGAGTGAGGTTGAAGAATGGGAAGGTGTACTCATTGGCTCCACGCAGGGGGGGGGGGCGACGGGCATAAATCCCGCCTCCCCCTGCGCGTCGATGAAGACAGGTAAGGAGGAAGTGGAGGCCCGTTTGGGGACGGGCCCCACTCCCCCGGTCCCCCCAGCTAAATAGGGGGGCTAAAAGAGAGGGTGGGTGTCCCCTCTCTCCAATTAGAAACCAGGAGGCCAACCTGGCCGGGCAACCGGCCGGGGCGCTGCGTCTCCGACTCCCTTTGTGGGAAGGGGTGCGGTACTTGGGCGAGTGGCTCCATTAGAGCCCCAGGGCTGGGGTGTCGGGGAGTGAGTGCCTGCGCAGTTCCCCCGACTCCCCACACTCCGGCCCGACTGGTAGACACTCCGGTAGGGTTTTAGTCGGTAAGAGTCCGGCATAACCCTCGACCCCCCAAGGGTCGAGGGTATCCATAAGGATTTCCCCACCTGGAAGGTGGGAACCCCACTGTGATAAAAAAAAGGTGTATTCATTGGCTAATACGGATGATGTTGCGATGTTGGCATAGGATGAGGAGGGGTTAAAGGGAATGATGGTAAGGATGGAGAGATATTTAGATGGGAAAGGATTGGAAGTAAACGTGGAGAAAACAAAGGTAATGAGATGTAGGAAGGGGAAGAGGAGATGGAGAAAGGTGAGCTGGAGGTGGAAGGAAAAGAAAATAGAGGAGGTAAGGGAATTTAAGTATTTAGGATACACAATAAAGAATAATGGATCACAGGAGGCACAAGTGAAGGAGAGGATAAAAAGAGGGGCAATACTGCTGGTACAGGTGTGGGGGATAGGAAAGAGGAGATTTGGAGGGGACTGGGAAAGAAGAATTTGGTTGTTCGATAGGCTGATATGGTCGGTGATGAGTTATGGGGTAGAAATTTGGGGATGGGAAGAGAGAGAGAGGGAATGGAAAGGGTGCATGAGAGGTATTTAAGATGGGTGTTAGGAGTGGAAAGGTGCACGCCAGGGTACATAGTTAGAGAGGAGATGCAGAGAGAGAAAATAAGTGCAAAGGCAGGTATGAAGGCATGGTGATATGAAAGGAAATTGGAGAAAGGTAGGGAAGGGGAGTTAGCAAGGAGGTGTTGGAAAGAAATGAGGGAAGGAGGGAAGAAGGGAAGGGCAAGGAAAGGATGGGAGGAAAAGAGGAAGACGTACGTAGAGGCAAAAGGGTGGAGGATAGAGGAGGTAGAGGAATTGAGGGAGAGGGGAGATATGAGAGGGGAACAAATAGTGGAGAGAGAGAGAGAGGAAGCAACAAAGAGAAGAAAGGTGGAAAAAATTGAGGAGTCAAGATATAATGGATGGTATAAGGGGGATAAAGGGGGTGGGGGTGCCAGGGTATTTAAAGGAAGGTTGGGGAGAAAGTAGGTGGCAAAGAGTTGCAAGATATAGATTAGGAAATGGAATGAAAGGAGGAAAATACTGGGTGGGGGAGGAAGAAAGGAAGTGTAGGATATGTGGGGTAGAAAAGGAAGTATGGGAGCATGTGTGGGAATGTGCAGGGTGGGGGGAAGAAAGGAGATGGCAGGGGAGGTTTTGGGGGAGGAGGGAGTGGTTAAGGAAGCTGGATGGGGTGAGAGGGGAAGGAAAGAGTAAGTGGAAATATGAGTGTGAGGAGGATGAGATTAGGGAAGATAAATTGTAAACGGGAACGGAAGTCCAAAATAGGAGAGGGAGTTGCGTAGAGTGTGCGTGTGTATGTATAGGTAGTAAGAAGGATAGGATAGGATAGGATAAGTAAATAGGTTAAGATAGAGAGTAAGAGAAATGTATGAGAATTGTAACCCTAAGGGGAATCAATAAATTAATATATAATATTAACAATATGTGCAGCCTGAATGGAAAGTTTAATATATATTACCGGTAATACACGTGACACGGAACGTATTAACTAGTCTTTTTATAAATAATGCCTCATAAACGTGCACCTCGTTAAAAAAAATTTTCGTCAGTTATACTAAACTATATCAAATTCGCCTTCTAATAAGTTACTTTTTATAGATTTTTGGCTATTAAACACGAATTTGGGTACAAAATGTTTATTATGTTAAAATTTTAAAAAGCATACTGTAAAAAATTCTAGAAATCCATTATTTGCACTTTTCAATAATTTATGTTTCTGAACTGAAATGTGTTGGAGATTTTTGTAAGATCTCAAATTAAAGCTATTACTCTATAATAATATAAAAAAGATAAGCAAAGACAAGCAGTTTAAAAGTCTTGCACCAAATTATATTAACCAATAAAGGAATTAACAGTCCTACATTTTTCTATGTATCTCCCAATCTTTTTTTCTATTAATTTCAACATGATTAGTTTTGTGGAAGCTTTCAGCGTGTAAATCTCAGATTAAATTAAAACTAAAATTAACTTAATTAAATAATTTATTTAAATAATTTTCTATCACATCCTATTTTTACTACAAAATTATAATCTCATATTTAAAAAAATACGTTTTTAGCATTTTTAGTGTTTTTAGCATATTTTACAGTACATTTCTCGAAATTTTACTATAACATTTTGCGCCCAAATTCGTATTTAACCAAAAATTTACAGGAAATGACTTATCGGATCTTAAAGCAAATAAATTTATTTTTATTATGCAATATTATCACTGAATAATCCATCAATGACAAGTAGTACTAATGGCATCGGTCATAACATTGACCAACCTGAAGGCATCTAGGTCAAGACGATGGCATTTTTGTTGATTGATGGCACATAAACCGGCACATCCAGTAGGATCTTCGAGGTCCTGGGGGCTTTTGCATGTTGGCACTTCTTCATCAACGAGGGCAACGCACACTTCTCCTTCAAAGCAGTCGTCGCAATATCTAGTCACATTAGTGTTGTGACTCATATCTTCTATTTCCATGTCTGTCGACGGTGAAGAAGTCTCTAGAAATGATGGGTCGCTGTTTGAAAGGGCACTTGTGGTAACTGCGTTGATACTTGTTTTCATCATTATAGTCGTCGAAATACTTGTCATGTCTGTAAAATTCGGCTCATCGTTCGAGATTGCAGCCGTGAATGATTCGCTAGATGTAATGTTCTGTCCCATTAATTTATCTGTAGACGACTTCAGGTATTGCTGAATGATTTGGAGTTTTTCTGGTTCTGTAAAGAAGAAGCATGACGCGATTAGTTATCCCGCCAAAACGTAGTTGCATAATTGAAATATTACATTTCTTTTCAGATATTTTAACTGTTTACATGTCTCGCGGCACGATAGCGTTTCTCGCTATTTTTCGCAAGTATTCTGCAACTATATATGACACTTAAACGATTAATCCTTTGCATTCGGAGCCATTTCGCACGTTACCTACCAACAGCTCGGCGGCATCTTTGTAGGAAAATGTACAAACAGAAATCGCATCATATTAAAGTGTAGTTTTGAAATCAAGTTTATTGTAATAATATTTGGTTTATATCTTTAGACATTGAGGAACATATTTATGACAAAAAATCAAAATTTTATATCTTATATTTTTCTAACGTGTGGAAACGTCACCGATATGCATTGCAGATTCCTTAAGGGGATCCTGGAATCGTCTGTTTTACCGACACATTGATTCAATCTTCTCAAACACTATTCTTTTTATTAGCCGTACAGATTGAAAAATCCTTTTGTACAGTGAAAATACTTATAATAACGAAGTCTGGAAAGCAGAATTTTATGTAAAATTCAATGAAAAATTAAAAAATTACAGTTTCGTTATCATGTTCTGCATCAGCTCGTAACTTTACTTATTAATTATAACAGTTCTGCAGTTTGTCCGTGCAAAAGCTTTTGCTTTCATACTAGCCATAATATGAAAGAATAATACTAAAGTAGTAATACTAAAACAGAAATGAGTTCAGAAGTCAGTGTAAAAAGAATAGTATTTGAGAAAAAATGGCTTGGATGTGTGTGTGCAGAATATTCTTGCTACACTTTGGGGTAAAACAGAACAGTAGATTAATTCCGCATAATCGTAATCGATGGAGCTGCAGGCAGACACAGTCGTACTATCCTTGTCTGTTTCATGCGTAGAGTAATATTATGACAATGAAACTATAGTTGTTAAATTTTTTGTCGAATTTTACATAAAACTCTGCTTTCCAGACTTCGTTAAGTACTTTCATTGTGCAAAAGGATTTTTCAATCTGTGTAGCTAATAAAAAGATTAGTGGTTGAAACTCTCTCGTATTTGTTCCCTCGATCGCACGCTTATTAGTCTGCGTTCACAATCAGTTGGAAGACGTGTCGTATGTCGCACATATGTTGTATGTACCAATCACAACCTTACATGTGGTGTCTACATTAAATTATTGTACATTAAAATTAAATTAGCTATATATACAGGGTGTTTGATAGCTGGTCATGCAGACGAAAGTTGGAGATAGATTGAGTGTAGCCGAGAAGTAAAGTCATGTACCATAATGTCAAATTGCCAATAGTTATCGAGTTATTAATTAAAACATGTGAGCCAACGAGCGCGTAGAGAGCGGAGGGCGACCGCAGTAAGCACGTAGACATTTGATACAGGCGGAGTGAGTGAGTGACGGTAGGCGAGCGCGCGCGGCGAGGAGCAATGTAAACAACAAGAGGCGAGCGCGCGCGATGAGGAGCGAACGAGCGCAAGCGACAAAAGACGAGCGAGCGCGACGAAGAGCGAGCGAGCTATAAGGAAAAAGCTATAAAGAAAAAGCTCGCTCGCTCCTCGTCGCGCGCGATTGCCTCTTGTCGCTTACGTTGCCCCTCGCCGCGCGCGCTTGCCTACCGCCACTCACTGACTCTGCCTGTATCTATGTAATCTACGTAATGTCTACGTGCTTACTGCGGCCGCCCTCCGCTCTCTACGCGCTCGTTGGCTCACATATTTTAATTAATAACTCGGTAACTATTGTCAATTTGACATTATGGTACATGACTTTTCTTCTCGGCTACACCTAATCTATCTCCAACTTTCGTCTGTATGATCAGCTATCAAACACCCTGTATACATCAGCGAATCGAAGAATCCGAGAAGCAGCAGCAAAATGCACATTTCGGAGAGAAAGCAAATATCAGCAGCGTCGCATTCACATTCATATAAGATCTGTGTGTAGAAAAGTCGAAATGATAATGCAGCACACACATTTGTCTGAAGTCTGTGAGAAAAGATATACTGGGTGTCCGAAATTTCCGCATTCGGAGTACAGGACATGATACTTTATGCTAAAATAAACAACTTTTTCCTTTAGCAAAATTGCGTTCGACAAGTAGTTTTTGCAGGAGAGCGTGTTAAATTTAACGAATAAGCGCTCTTGTTTACATAGCGCTCAGAGCGGCGCGCGCGCCTCACTCGCGTGTACTTAGTCCGTGATTAGTAATCATATGTAGTATCTTTGAAGACGCTCATACGGTTCTGTTGTGATTAGTTTACGACATTTTAAGACTGTGCTTAAGACAATTTTAAATAATAAGAATCAATTATGAACAATATCGGGATTTGACCTGCTTTCGTATTTATATTGCTTAAATAATGAAAAGTTAATAAAATAAGTATTGCCTTTATTTCTTACGTAATAAATGAATAAAATATTGTCTGGTTGCACAATATTATTTGAAAATATAGACAAATATAAATAGTAATATGTTTTGCGAGCTATGAGCGTTCTATTATTTCAAATTGCACAATTACGTGATAATTAAGTAGTATCATTAAACTTAAAGATTAATTTACTGATCAAGCGTATACATTGGAATATACATATTTGTAACACTGATTAAAAGTAAAATATTTGAATTAACGTCTTTTAAGAGCTCTTTTTTTATTTTTTTATAATGTAATAGAAAATACAAAGAACTTATTTAAAATTCAAATTGTGTGATATATTTACGTCACGGTCTACATTTATTTATTATTGCTTATGCACGTTAGCCTTTCAATACGTACTTTCCTTACATGTTTCGATTATTGCGAGTAATATTGCTATAGCCTCAATGATTTATTTTCTTAACAAACTTGACCACTGAGGCTATAGCAATATTCCTTACAATAATAAAAACATGTAAGGAAAGTATGCATTGAAAGGCTAACGTGCATAAGCAATAATAAATAAATGTAAACCGTGACGAGAATATATCACACAATTTGAATTTTAAATAAGTTCTTTGTATTTTCTATTATATTATAAAAAAATAAAAAGAGAGCTCTTAAAAGACGTTAATTCAGATATTTTACTTTTAATCACTGTTACAAATATGTATATTCCAATGTATACGCTTGATCAGTAAATTAATCTTTAAGTTTAATGATACTACTTAATTATCACGTAATTGTGCAATTTGAAATAATAGAAATCTCACAGCTCGCAAAACATATTACTATTTATATTTGTCTATATTTTCAAATAATATTGTGCAACCAGACAATATTTTATTCATTTATTACGTAAGAAATAAAGGCAATACTTATTTTATTAACTTTTCATTATTTAAGCAATATAAATACGAAAGCAGGTCAAATCCCGATATTGTTCATAATTGATTCTTATTATTTAAAATTGTCTTAAGCACAGTCTTAAAATGTCGTAAACTAATCACAACAGAACCGCATGAGCGTCTTCAAAGATACTACATATGATTACTAATCACGGACTAGGTACACGCGAGTGAGGCGCGCGCGCCGCTCTGAGCGCTATGTAAACAAGAGCGCTTATTCGTTAAATTTAACACGCTCTCTTGCAAAAACTACTTGTCGGACGCAATTTTGCTAAAGGAAAAAGTTGTTTGTTTTAACATAAAGTATCATGTTCTGTACTCCAAATGCGGGAATTTCGGATCACCTAGTATATGGAAAAATGCGATGAAAGGATAGCGTAATCGCATCAGCGCTTATCCGGCAATTGTCTTTATTATATAAATACTATGTAAATATTGGGTTGGCAATTAAGTGATTGCGGATTTTAAATAAGAATGAAAGTTCAAAATTTTAAATTTGCTTTTTTAAATTTTTTTCAATGCGATACATTGAGCTTCTCTGCAATATCACGTGCTATGATGATCTGAATCGATAATGGCCTTGATATTGGTCTCATCGACTTCAACTGGACGGCCAGATCGTTGAGCATTTTTCAATGAAAAGTCACCAGAACGAAATCTGGCAAACCAATTTTGACACTGCCTTTCTTTCAAGGCTTCATTCCCGTATACGACACATAACTTCTTGTGTGCTTGCGATGCGTTCTTGCCTTTTCGGAAATAATACAATAAAATATGTCTGAAGTGCACGTCTTGCTCTTCCATTTTTAAATTGGGGTAAAAACAAAACTAAACAACTAATCGATATAATTTTTGTACTAAATGAAAGGTAGAAGTCCAAACAATAAGAAAAAAATATAAGTTAGGTACTTTGAACACGTTAACGAAACAAAAGAAAGTGTAAAATCCATCTGTCGACAAAATCCGCAATCACTTAGTTGCCAACCCAATATATATCCACAGATGTGTACCAATATTCATTAACGTCGATAATAGATGATAACATTCCCTACTTTTTGACGATCGTCTCTACGTTATCGATGCTTTGCACGTTCGTTGACGACTTCAGCATCCCCTTAATACATGTTGTACGAAATGTATTCACACACTTATCTTTCTTATAAACTAGGTGCGCAACTAAGTTTCCGGGTTTCACACATGGATGGCGCCAACGATACATGTAGTCGACATACATGTCTGAAGCAGTGATGCCAGTTTCAAGACCCAAACAGCATAGCTACAGTGCGTGCAGCGGCGCGCACACAAGCAAACTACCGTGTACGTGCCTATCACGAACTACAGCACTCGGCGCTTCGGCTAAGTTCGAGCGGTGGAAGATGCAGATGACGCTGCTCTCTTTCTCTCACGATCTATTAGCTATAGCTAACGCGCCAGCCGTGAAAATGATACCTAGGCGTCTTTAATGTATTTCGCCGGTCGCTTGTCCTTTCTCGCGCATGCGTTCTCTACCTACCCAATTAATGGTCCTAATTCATTGTCGCATTAAATTGAAAGTTTTTTACATATAAAAAATATAAAAAATGAAGAAATGAAAAACAGAAAGAATGTAAAAAATAAAGAATAGAAATCCACTCTTGGCCAATGTATG